AATGGCCCACCTTAAAAGAACAAAACCTTACTTAATCCCACATCCCCCTCTGTATCTTTGCTCCTTTTAAAAAGGAGTTTTCTACATGCTGTGTCGGCTTTCTTATCTTTCTTTTTTGAGTCCATTTCCCTCTTGTCAAGGTCACTAAGAACATCAATTTATAAAATCCTATGGACAGTTCCAGTTCTCGTCATACTAGACCTTAGACTTCTAAGTATACGTATTAAGAAAAAGTTTACCTCTTCAATGCCTTTTTTTTCAGACAGAGTCTTGCTCTGTCGCCCAGGCTCGAATGCAGTAGCACAATCTCGTCTCAGTGTAACCTCCGCCTCCAGGGTTCAAGTAATTTTCGTGCCTCGGCCTCCCAAGTAGCTGGGACTACAGGCACACACCACCACACCCGGCTAATTTTTGTATTTTTAGTAAAGACAGGGTTTCCCTATGTTGGCCAGGCTGGTCTCAAACTTCTGACTTCAGGTAAGACGGCTGCCTCTGCCTCCCAAAGTGCCGGGATTACAGGTGTGAGCTCAACTGCCTTTTATGATTACACTCTACTACTCTGTCTTGGCAAAATTACTGACTGTGGTTCTCTTTAATCTCAAAAGTGTCCCATTGGTACTTCGGCTATCAGAGACATTACTGGGACAATTGGTAAAATTTAAATAATGCCTACAAATTAGATAATGGTTTTGAAGTCATGTTAATTTCCTTTCACAACCACAGAAAAATTTTCAAAATCAGTTGGTCTGGGGTGGGGTCCTAAAAGTTAGGTTTCCAACTTTCCAGGTGATACACAGTTGCAGCTGGCCTAAGAACCATAGAACTAGTGATACAAGGGAATGACTTTGTAGGAAAAATCCACCGAAGTATTTAAGGGTATGGGTATCATGTCTGCAACTTACTTTCAAACAATTCAGAAAAAAAGTGTCTGTCTATAGATAAGTAGAGGAATAGAAAAGAATAAAACAATTATAAAATGTTAACATTTGGAGGATCTGAGTGAAAGTCATATACAAATTCTATGTATTATTCTTGCAACTTTTCTGTGTCTGAAATTGTCAAAATAAAAAGTTAAAATGTGTGCTGGTTTGGATAATAAATCCTATGGTCAGCTTTCACTCTGTCTGAAGGCTTTATCATCTATGGAGTAGTGACTCTCAAGTATTTGTCTCTTGACCTACCTCTCCCCTTAATTCCATCTAAGTGGAGGTGGTCAGTAGGCTGTGATATACATCACAATGATATACATCACAGCCTACTGACCACCTCCACTTAGATGGCTACCAGGCATTGCAATTTTATTTTGACTCCCTCCACAACAAACAAACCAAAACCTCCTTTCGCAGTATATCTGCTGTACCACCATTCACCCAATTACTCCAGCCAAAAGGCTTGAAATTATCCTTAAATCTTCTCTCTGTACTTTCAGCACACATCACTAAGAATCTAATCACTTCTTACCTCCTCTACCTCCACTACTGTAATCCAAGCTACTAACACTTCTTTCCTGGAATACTTTGAAAGGCTCCTAGTTGGAGAACCTCTCTGCTTCCATTGTAGTTAATTGGCCACACAGCACCCAAAATGATCTTTATAAAATATAAATCATAATGTCACTCTCTTGCTGGTAATATGCTAGAATATACCATCACAGAATAAAATCCAAAATCCCTTCCTTGGCTTATAGGACACTATGTGATCAGGTCCATTGCTGCTGCTTCTATCTCATTTCTTTCCATTTCAACCTTATTTACTGGCATCATCCAAACTCAGTGTGCTAGGCAGAAGATGCCCATGTCCTAATCCCTGGAATCTGTGAATATGTTACTTTACATGGTAAGTGGGATTTTGTAGATCTGATTAAGTTAAGGATCTTGGAATAGGGAGGTTCCTGGATTATCCAGTTGGGCCCAAAGTAATCACAAGAACCCTTGTAAGTTAAAGAGAGACAAAAAAGAGTGAGAGTAAGAGGAGACGTGACCACAGAAGCAGAGGTGAGAGTCTGAGATTTGAAGATGCTCCATTATTGACTTTGAAAATGGAAGGAGCCAAAAACAGGTAGCATTTTTGGAAGTCAAAAGTCCAAATTGAGTTTCACTAAGCTAAAATCAAGTGTTAGCAAGGGTGCATTCCTCCTGGTTGCTGTAGGGAAAAAACCATTCCCTCACCTTTTCCAGTTTCTAGAGGAGGCCTGCTTTCCTTGGTTTGTGGCCCCTTCCGCATCTTCAAAGCCAGCAGCAGAACATCTTCAAACTTCTCCCTGACCTGTTTCCTTCTTTCACTTATAAAGATCCTTATGATTAGAGTCCACCAGACAATCCAGGATAGTCTTCCCATCTCAAAATACTTAATTTAATGACATCTTCAAAGTCTCTTGTCATATATAACATAGAGGTTCCTGGAATCTGAACACATCTTCTGAAGGCCATTATTCTGCCTACTACATAGCTTTGTGAACTTACATGATGAACATGTTGGAATTTCCTGTTCAGTTCTGCAACTTATATTTTGAGATACAAACTTTAAAAAGAAAATGAAATTTTAGAACCTTCCAAATTTATTAAGCCGAGGGAGAGAAGTTCAGCCCTGAAAACTGAGTCGTGTAATACAGCTGTTTTTCTTCTCTGGTACATGACTGTTGTTACTTCCTGACCTTTATGTTGAAATGTTATATATTAATCGGACTCCCTATTCTTCATTCAAACCTAGACTACATAATATTGGAGCTGTAGACCCTTGTGATTGTTACTTTCTTACAAAAAATATTAAGCAACCACCTTAGAGTGTAATCAATAGCAGTCAATCAGATCTTAAATCTGGATGATATCTGTTGTTTGGAAGATGTTGTAATTCTTATCGGCATCTCCATTTTTGTCTTCTATAAACAATCTTCACTTTTCCTCACACTGGAAGCACGTATCACCATTTTTTGGTGTCTACATGTTCCCATGTGACTGCCCTCATACTTTCCAGTTGAATAAACCCTTTTAACTGGTTCCTTAGCCTTTTGATTATTTTAGGGTGACAAGACAAACCAGGCCATGTTCCCAGAACAACTAGGATAGTAAAGAGCCCACCTGGTATGCAGAACAGTTAAAAGAGTCATGCAGATTTATCTAAGAAAAGAAGGGCCACAGAACTAAACTGATTCTGTCATTATACGAACTGTTTTCAAATATCAGCAGATGAGGGGTTTTGGTTAACTACATACAGGACACTAGCTAGCAAGAAATCATCACAATAAGTTATGAATTTTCAGGAAGCTGCACTATTATTCTACAGTGAAAATGGGGGAGCAAGGATGGGACATCTTTTAAATCACTGTCAGCATTCAGGAGATACAATGCAAGGTCCAAGATCATCTAATTTATTGTTTCCTAGATAAAAGACAATATCCAGTACACTTGGTTTAATTGCTTCCTTACGTTAAATGTTCTGCAAATCGAATGCACTTTAATTTTTAAAAAATCAATTATCTTGCTATTCTCAGAATGACTTGCAATAATTCAGTAAAATAACATTGATCACATAGAAGAAAAAGGGCCTTGGAAATCCATTGGTCCAGATCTTTCATTTTCAATAAGAAGTAAATTTTATCTAAAAGTTAACCTGAAAGGCTATAGGGGTAGGGAAGGAGAACAATTACGCAATAGGAACAATAGGAAAAGGTTGTGGCACGTTAGTAACATGCCTAAAGAGTTTTTTCTTGATGCTTGCAAAGTCATAAGTTAAAACGCACTGAAATAAATATGATTGTTTCTGATTATGCTGTTGCTGATTAATTACCTATTTCCTACCTTTTTATCAGCAAAACCAAGAAGTTGAGAGAGTTGAATAGGCAAAATGTAAAAGGTAAGACTAGGCTTTGCGGTCAGGCGTAGTGGATTTGCATCCCAGATGTCCATTTACTAGCCATGAGAACTTGAGAGAGTAATTTAACCTCACGTTCTGGGGAAATAAATCAGAGACTATACGCATACAATTTTTAGGGGTCAGCGTTCCAATCAATCCCTGCTGCAGTTGTTAGGACTTGGCTTTTATTCTGCACATTTCCAAAGAGACAGTAGCAACTGGGAAACGCTAAAATAAGGGTTCTTTTACAGACGATCCTAAACCCTCAACAGAAGGTAACAATAGGCGGGCGCCGATGCCGTCCGCTAAATACAAACCCAGTCTGGGTTACAGAGGCTCCCTGCGCCGGAAGTGACTCTGCCCCAACTAACATGGCGTCCAGGCGATTTCCGCTCTCTTCTGGACAGTAATTGGGCTCTGCGGCTTCTCGCGGTTTTTCCAGTTGCCATCCGTTTAGCATACGCCGCCAGCTTGGTCCTTTTCGAGGAGGGCGGGGCTAAAACGTAGACGCTGCATGGTGATTGGTTGTGGCGCGTTAGAACGCGGCTACTGAGAATTGGACAATTCAGGCTTTGCTTGGTTGCTGAGAGGCGGGGCTCCTCGACTGCTCCGGAGGTAGCGGCCGCGGGGAGGAGAGCCATGAACCAGGCAGCCAAGGTGACAGGGCCCGGGGAAGGGGTGGGTGCGATGCGGACGGGGAGGGTAAGTTCGCGGACTTGAGAAAATTGCCTGAAGTCTCTGGAGGCTGGGGTTCCGGACCCTTTACGGAGTATGTGGCTGTTACCCCAGAGAAGTCAGATGACCAACTCCGAAGGGCAGTTGCGGGTTTGTGCAGGTGCGGAGCAAAGCGGGAGGCACCAGTGTGGTTCAGTACGAGGTACGCAGTGTTTATCCAAGATACAAGCCCGCGACTTGAGTTCTGCCCCCATTTCATCTTCAGACCGAGTATTTGTCTGAGGGACCCCTTTCACATCCCTGGGAAGTATAGGAGACGCCAAAGGCAGACCTAAGCAACAGCAGTTCAATGAAGTGAAAAGTTTATTTGAATAAACAGAAGGTGCACAGAAGTCTAGCAGCCGAGGAAACCGAACCCCAGCAAAATTACTTGTCAAAAGTAACACAGCAAGACAGAGCAGGGGCTGGTGACACCTGAGTTCACTGAATGAGCTTGGCATGTGCTGGCTGTGCTCGGATCATCTCTCTGAGTACTTACCTGATCTCAGATTCATTCCTCACACCCAAGCATGATGCATGTTCCTGCCCGGTGCACAGTTCTCATTGGCAGCCATCCATTAACGTTTACTATCAGCGTGGCCATTTGGGACCTGTAGTTGTCACTGGCTGAAACATAAACAAGGAAATGTGGAAATGGCCTGCTATAACATGGTGAAGAAAAGCAGTGTTTGCGCTTGATCAATAATACGGAGCCACCAAACAGTCCTCGTGTACTTTTGTACATAATGCCACAGCATCAATAGAAACAGAACTGCTCAGGGTTATTCATTAAAAAAATTATTTGAATGTCCATAATAGTTATTATTATAGCCAACAGCCAACATCTAGCCTATATTGTCTAAGCATATTGGATGCCACAATAAACTGAACATCCTTGCCTTCATAAAGAAATCTAGCAGGTAGGGAAACTTTAAACAGTTATTTCATTATGGTTGTAATAAGTGCTTTGATTTGAAAATACAGTGTTTTGTGAGCATATAAATAGGATTTAACATATCTGGAGGGACTTTAAAAGGTCTCTCAAGGGGCCAAGTGCAATGGCTCACACCTGTAATCCCAGCATTTTGGGAGGCCGAGGCGGGAGCATCACCTGAGGTCAGGAGTTTGAGACCAGCCTGAGCAACATGGTGAAACCCCCTCTCTACTAAAAATACAAAAATTAGCTGGGCATGGGGGCAGATTCCTGTAATTGCAGCTACTCAGGCTGAGGCACAAGAATTTCTTGAACCTGGGAGATGGAGGTTTCAGTGAGCCGAGATTGCACCACTGCACTCCAGCCTGGTGACAGAGCAAGACTTCATCTCAAAAAACAAATAATCTCTCAAGGAAGTTCAGACCTGAAGTTTGATTAAAAATTAGCTAGAGGAGAGAAAAAAAGCATTCCTGAAAAGGCAGCTAGCACATGGAAAGTCCTTGAAGTGGGGATTTGGTTGGAAAACTTGGATACAAATGAAATTAAGTAGGATTCGTTCCAAAAACACTTTTGGTAAAGCCTATCATGTATAGAAGGCACTTATGCAACATGTGGAAAGATACAAAAGTGACCAATCCAGCCAGGGTATCAACAAGACCCTGTCTCAAAAAAAAAAAAAAAAAAGTGAAACCCAGCACAAAAATTATAACCCTTAAAATCAAGCCATTATTCAAGAAAATTGAGGCCAAAAGGCTACTTGTCCAAGCTTACATTAAGTGTCAATCTCAGATTCAAACTGATCTGACTATAAAGAATCCACTTTTCATATACACTGCCTGAATTTGTCCAATCAGTATAAGTCAATGAGGAAAAGAATACAGTCTGTGACCTGGCTTTCTGCATTTAATAAAAGTTTATCTGCTCCAAGGTAATGTTAACTGCAGTAGTGCTATGGCAATAATAATAACATTTTCTTATACTAGTCCTCTTAAATTAGGGATGCTAATTTGTTGTACTAATGGAGTCATCTGTCTTCTTTAAACAGCATGTAAAATCATTAGGTTTACTTACTTCTCACTTTTTTTAACCCCATGCAACCTGTGTCTGCTCCTGCAGTATTAAAGTCCCTGGGATTCTATGATGCTTGCAAAGTTCGTATTTTTACCAACAATCTTTTCAAGGCAGTCTTGGCTTTTACTATCAAGCACCTCAGAATTATCCCAGCCTCTTCACATTACTCAATTCCAAAGCCACTTTCACATGTTTAGATACAGGCATACCTAGGTGTTGCGGGTTTGGTTCAAAGCCATGGCAACAAAGCATATATTGCATTAAAGCAAGTAAAACAAGTTTTTTGGTCCCAGTGCATATGAAAGTTATGTTTACACTATAATGTAGTCTATTAAGTGTGCAATAGCATTATGTCTTTTGAAAGTACATACCTTAAATTAAAAATACTTTATTGCTAGAAAATGCTAACAGTTATCTGAGTTTTCAGCAAGTTGTAATCTTTTTGCTGATGAAAGATCTTGTCTAATGTTGATGGCTGCTAATTGATCAGATTAGTAGTTGCTGAAGGTTGGGATGACTGTGACAATTTCTTAAAATAAGATGACAATAAAGTTTACCACATTGATTGACTTTCTCTCTCACAAAAGATTTCTCTGTACCATGCGATCCAGTTTGATAGCATTTTACGCACAGTAGAGCAACTTTCAAAATTGGATTCAATCCTCTCAACCCTGGCCACTTATCAACTAAGTTTATATAATATTCTAAATCCTTTGTTGTTATTTCAACAATGTTCACAGCATCTTCACCAGGAGTGAAGTGATGTGAGTGATGATCTTCATAAACTCAAGAATCCACTTTCTTTGCTTATCCATGCAACCCCTCATGCATTTAAGTTTTATCAAGATTGCAGCAATTCAGTCACATCTTAAGGCCTCACTTCTTATCCGAATTTCATTTTCACTTTCCACATATCTGCAGTTAATTCTTCCACTGAAGTCTTAAACCCCCAAAGTCATCCATGCGTATTCAAATCGGTTTCTTCCAAATACCTGTTATTGTTGCTTTTTTTACCTCCTCTCTTGAATTCTCTGAACGGCATTTAGAATGGTGAATCCTTCCCAGGAGTTTTTCAATTTACTTTGCCTAAATTCATCAGAGGAATCACTATGGCAGCTGTATCCTTATGAGTCTTTTAAATATGACTTGGAAGTCTGGCTCCTGCCTTTAATCCCAGCATTATGGGAGGCTGAGGTGGCGGATTGTTCGAGTTCAGGAGTTCAAGACCAGCCTGGGCAACATGGCAAAACCCATCTCTACAAAATGTACAAATATTAGCTTGATGTGGTGGCATGCGCCTGTGCTCCCAGCAACTTGAAAGGCTGAGGTGGGAGGATCACTTGAGCCCAGGAGGTCGAGGCTTCATCAGTAAGCCATGATTGTACCACTGCACTCCAGCCTGGGTGACAGTACAAGGCCCTGTCTCAAAAAAAATAAAAAGGACTTGAAAGTCAAAATTACTACTTGACCTTGACATGTGGGGTTGCAAAATGGATGTTGTTTTGACAGCAATATTAATTTGAAAGCAATATTAATTTCATGAAAGCAATATTAATTTCCTTGCACATTTCCATCGGAGCTCTTGGGTGATGAGGTATGTTGTCAGTGAGCAGTAATATTTTTAAAGAAATCTTTTTTTCTTCTGAGAAGTAGATCCCTACAGTGGGCTTAAAATATTCAGTGAACTATGCTTTAAACAGATGCGCTTTGTTGATTTGTAGAGCACAGATAGAGTAGATTTAGCATAATTCTTTTTTCTTTTTTTTTTTTTTTTTTTTTGAGACAGAGACTTGCTCTGTCGCCAGGCGCCAGGCTGGAGTGCAGTGGCGCAGTCTCGGCTCGCTGCAACCTCCGCCTCCTGCGTCAAGCAATTCTCCTGCCTCAGCCTCCCAAGTAGCTGGTACTACAGGCATGCGCCACCACGCCCAGCCATTTTTTTTGTATTTTTAGTAGAGACGGGGTTTCACTATGTTGGCCAGGATGGTCTCGATCTCTTGACCTTGTGATCTGCCCGTCTCGGCTTCCCAAAGTGCTGGGATTACAGGCGTGAGCCACCGCGCCCGGCCTTTCTTTTTTTTTTTTTTTTTTTTTTTTTTAATAGACAGAGTCTTGCTCTGTGTCCCTGGCTGGAATACAGTGGCGCAATCTCTGCCTCCCGAGTTCAAGCCAGCCTCTACACATTACTCAATGTAACGTGTAGCACCTGCCTCAGCCTCTTGAGCATCTGGGATTACAGGTGCCCACCACCACGCCCGGCTAATTTTGGTATTTTTGATAGAGACAAAGTTTCACCATGTTGCCCAGGCTGGTTTCAAACTTGCAACCTTAGGTGATCTGCCCACCTCAGACTCCCAAAGTGCTGGGATTACAGGCATGAGCCACCGTGCCCAGCCATTAGCTCTTCTTTGGGTTTTGGGGGGTGTTTTTGTTTTTTGTTTTGTTTTGAGACAGGGTCTTACTCTGTCACCCAGCCTGGAATGCAGTGGTATCATCTCAGCTCACCGCAACCTCTGCCTCCCAAGCTCAAGAGATCCTCCCACCTCAGCCTCCCAAGTAGCTGGGAACACAGGCCACCACGACTAGCCAATTTTTCTGTTTTTTGTAAAGACAGGATTTTTCCATGCTGCCCTGTCTTTACAAAAAACGGCTGGCTACTCCACTACGCCAGACTAATTTTTCTATGTTTTGTAAAGACAGGGTTTTGCCATGCTACCCAGGCTGGTTTGTTGTTGTTGAGACAGAGTCTCACTCTGTCACCTAGGCTGGAGTACAGTGACATGATCTTGGCTTACTGCAACCTCCACCTCCCAGGTTCAAATGATTTTCCTGCCTCGGCCTCCTGAGTAGCTGGGATTACAGGTGGCCGCCACCACGTCCAGCTAATTTTTTGTATTTTTTAATAGAGATAGGGTTTCACTATGTTGGCCAGGCTGGTCTTGAACTCCTGACCTCAGGTGATACGCCTTGACCTCCTAAAGTGCTGGGATTACAGACGTGAGCCACTGCGTCTGGCCCAGGCTGGTCCTGAACTCCTGAGCTCAAGGGATCCACCCACCTCAGCTTCCCGACAGGTTGGGATTATAGGCATGAGCCACCGTGTCTGGCCTGCATTAGCTTATTAAGAGCTAATTAAGCTCTTATTAATACAGATATTTTGCATTTTACCTCCCTGTTGATGGGTTGATGGACATTTAGGTTATTTCTACTTCATCGTTATTATGAATAATACTACCATGAACATTAGTGTACAGGTTTTTGTGTGAACATGTTTTCATTTGTCTTGAGTATGTACTTAGTAGTAGAATTTCTAGGTCATAAGATAACTGTAGACTTAACTTTTTTTTTTTTTTTGAGACGGAGTTTTGCTCTTGTTACCCAGGCTGGAGTGCAATGGCACGATCTCGGCTCACCGCAACCTCCGCCTCCTGGGTTCAGGCAATTCTCCTGCCTCAGCCTCCTGAGTAGCTGGGATTACAGGCACGCACCACCATGCCCAGCTGATTTTTTGTAGTTTTAGTAGAGACGGGGTTTCACCGTGTTGACCAGGATGGTCTTGATCTCTTGACCTCGTGATCCACCCGCCTCGGCCTCCCAAAGTGCTGGGATTACAGGCGTGAGCCACCACGCCCGGCCAGACTTAACTCTTTTGGTAACTGCCAAACTGTTTCCCAGAGCAGCTGTACCATTTTAAATGCCAAACAACAACGTATAAGAGTTCCTATTTTTCCGCATCTTTGCCAGCTCTTGTTATTGACTGTCTTTTTTTATGGTAGCCATTCTACTGGGATGAAATGGTATCTCATTGAGGTTTAGATTTGTGTTTCTGGATGGCACATGACATTGAACATCTTTTCATGGCTTATTGGCCATTTCTGGGGTTTTGTTTTGGGGGGGAGAAATATCTGTTCAAATCCT